CTTTACCTCCCTAATCTAACCTTACTTCAAAACACTTAATGTAGTCACGAATACTCATAAACCCCGACCTACCTTCCCGACATGCCTAAATTAGATCAGTGTTCAATCTGCGTTTTATTAATAAGTGTAATAACTTACTGCACCGTTGATGTAATTCAACATAATATAACCTGTGATGTATTATCCGATTAAATATCGATTTCGATGCGGTTCGATATATCGCTTATTAAATCCTGATTTCTAACATTGGCTGTTTCTAATCAGCTGGCAACACAAATATAGGTTCCCAAGAAAGTAGTCACTGGTCCGTATCCCTCCGCTCCTTGTTTATGCTCCGCGCATTGAAAAAGTAGTTCCGTATATTTTCTCGATTTTCAGTGAATTCCTTGCCTTAAAAAATGTTTTAACGGCATTTTCTTGTTTATTACAATCATAGGAATGGTTTAAAAACGTTTAAAAGAAAAGTCTAGAAACTTCAGAAACACGTTATGATTCTCTTGTTTACATTATTCTTGTAAACAAAAAACTGTCATAAGGCTACTTTAGTCCCATAAGCCTAATGTTAAAATTTGAAAATTTTAAGTTCGTTTTAAATTGCATTAGCATTATCTAATTGAAATTTGTTTGTTTATTAACCATCTCACTATTAGTCAATCTTGTTAAGTTTAGCTGAAATGTGTTCTGCCGTTATTGAGTGATGTTGCTTTATTTGTTGCATTGAAGTTGATCCCAAAGAGCTACGCTCGCTTCGCTCGCTCCGCTCAATAACTCACTCCATTGTAAACTCATCTTCATTCATTTTTGGATAAAATACTCGTATGCTAGGAGGCGTCCCATATCAATTGATAATGATAATAATAATTATCAAGGACAGCCGAGTCTAGTTTCTAGCCATCAAAACACCAAATTAGGCAACCTATTAGTAATTCTTGCAGTTGCAAGCTCAAATAATTGATAGGAACACGTAAATTTAATTATAAGCGTTAATCATTTCATTTTGAAACACCCTGTATATAGGCAGAACAATTCGTTGACAAAAGATAAGTTCGGTTCAATGTCAGAGGTAATTATTGTCAACAGACAACTTGAGAACGTGTGAACTAAAATACAATGACATCTGATAATCTAATTTCCGTTTCCTGTTATGAAACTAATTAAATGGAAAATCGTGTTAAGATATACAGTAAGATTAATTAGCAATTCACTACTAGCACTTGTACACGAATAACAATCTTTCCAACAAAAGTTGTACTGCGAAAATTCGATAAACAGATAAAGTAAAGTATTAACTAAAAAATAAATAATTCGAAAAAACCTTTGCAATTTTGGATATTTAACATATTTTATTTTGGGCTAAAACTTTACTTTTACCACATGTAAATTTACATATACCTTAAATCTCCTGTAATTTTTAATGAAAATTGGAATCGAAGAATATTTATCAGAATGTAAACAAGCATAAGCGATAATAACATAATCCAATAAAACAAGTCATTCATTTTTTGAATGTTTTATTAACATTTAAATAGTATTAAATATGAGTATTAAATAGTAGTCATAGTGATTGAATCTTGATAATCCGACCCAAACTGGATGTGGCGAGAAAGTCGAATAACACAGAGAGTAATAGAAACAAAACCATTGTAATCGTGTTTACAACATACTGTATGGTAGAATATCCAAAGATGCTCTATTGTATGTTTCGTAGTGCAGTAACTTGTGGAATGAAAGTTAGTAAGCAAACTAAATTATATTTTGGAGTATGTAATCAACATGTAAGTATTAAAAACCTGTTTTCGCAAAATTTTGAAACTGAAAGAGTTAAAAAAGTAATATTCATCACTCCTCTCGAAAATGTCAAAAACACTCCGCGCCGGGACGTTTTGCCGACGTTATTTTCCAACATTGAAAGTTAAAACATTTTTCATGGTGTAACTAAAAGACAGAACTCAGGACAATGTCAAGAATAGCCTTTTCCAAGATAAAAACTATTTAAAAGTGGGCATATTAGATTAATGATATACTTGGTTATTATCAGATTCAAATAGAAACCAATGAGTAAGTGCTTCAGTATATGGTTCTGAATCTAGCTGCAATTTGTCATCGAACTGTTGATAAATAGTGCTTTCTAACAAAAGAACAACTTCAACGTAGGCCTTTGCAAAAAACATTTCAAATTACAAACAGTATAGATTATGCCGGTTGAATGTGTATGTAAGTGACGAATTGGGGTTTTTATTTGTAGTATAGGCTAGTACTTACCAAGACCAGTTTAGATATTCTTCAGCTACGGTTGTTTAGTAGGATGGTTATGGATAAAGAACAGTTACGTTAAATTTAAATAATTCATACTGTACTCAAAACAAAGCCAATCAAAACTATAGTTATAGATGTGAGTTAATGTATTACTCACTTATATTCTTTCCTGAAAAGTTGGAGGAATTTTGAATCTAACGTTGTTCCAAACTTACCCTTTACTCAAATATTGGTTAAAATGTAGAGCATTTGCGTCGCTGTCTCAGTATGGTAAAATGATAAAATTACGCACGCTTGTAATTGTTTTAGATAACTTTTAGCGCAATGGATCGGTGACACATTATTCTGATAAAAATCTTTGTAACTTTTAAATAAGATTGAATTGCAACCTGGAAAATAAATGTCTTAGTTTAGAATGCAGTAATAGTTGTTTATTCATCTAGGCTTTTTAGCAAAATGATTTAACAGCTGGATTAAATTTTGAATCATCAACAGCTGTTGACATTTACAGAATCGAACCAACAATCTTCTGAATAATAGGGTATAACCACTGAACCACCCCTTCGTAACCTTACCTCTCAGTCTCCTTTGGAATCCATGGTGCAATTTACATTCCTAGCTCTTCTATAAAGACGACTGAGTTATATGATTACGGAACGGTACAAGCGGTCTCGTGTAAATGAACCTTACGTTGCGACACGGGAACTATCGACAGCGACATCTAGTGCGACATTGCGACATTCTCCCGTTAGTCGAGCAGATGAACCCTCTAGGACAACCACGACACACGGGCATCCAGGAAGTGATGTCAGGCTCACATCCACGTCCAGGGGGACAGATACGTCGAGGGCGTGATCATCACGATGGCTCTGAGTTGTTGGTGTGTTTTGAACCAGCAAACAACAGGGCTCGAATTATACTCAGAAGGTTCTCGGTTTGATCATGAGTAAAGTCTAAAGTCTCTAAGTTTTTACGTGATGCCCGAGGGGAAAGTGATATTTGCGCTTAGACCACCTCACGTGAGTTTGAACAACATTTAGATTGGAAAACGAGAAGTATGACCATCCGGAATATCACTTGACAAGAAAAGAAACAATAATGATTTAAACTTATCTTTTACTCTTCAAACGTGGGTGTAGCTCATGTCTAATACTAAAACTCGAGACAAAAATCTTACATAAAAAGTCTGTTAGATATTAGACGATGTTTATTTCTGAATTAATACATATTTTGTAAATCTCAGTCGGCATACACGTACAATGACACAAACCACATGTAAAATATACGTAAAGTACAAATATATGATAGGCCCTAAAGCATACATACAAAACTATAACTCGGCTAAGGATGTACCCTCGGAGGCCACACAACTCTCAATGTATTAAAAACCCACAAATCGGTTCGTAATTGAAGCGGTTGCCAAACGATATGAGTATTTAATACTAAGCGGCCTACTCAGAGAGCACGTAATAGAAATTGTGCTCTCAAGCTATTCAACCAAGTAGTGTCGATCCTTGTGGGACCCGCATCGTACTGTCGCAACAAGTAAAAAAAGTCACAGTTACTCAATTCCTTCATTTAAATTTAACTGGTTGCTATACCCGTGCCTCGTATTGGATGACTTACACGAAAACTATGGTTATTGATCTGTAATAAACAGATCCTCCTAAAATTTGTAACGACCCAGCTCAGTTTCAATAATTTAGTTTTCAAATCATTTTCTTTGGTTGCAACAATGTTGCAGCTGTGTGCAAGAATAAAATTATTAATAATATCAAAAAGTAAGCAGTATATGTTTATGTTAAGTATAAGTATATGTTAATAATCTAAATCAATTCATTCTTACAGCATTTTGTGTTTTGGTATAGAGATAAACTTCTAACATTCACCTGAATTGAATACGTATAGAAACGTTTAACGTCTTATGGGCGTGGCCTGAGGGAACTTAGAAAAAGAAGCCTATGTTTGGACCTGGTTCATTATCTGTGTGTTTTGGCTGCTTGGATAATTTGTTTTTTGGTCAAAAGGAACAAACACACATACATGCATAAAACCAATGTATGTTATGTATTATAAGGTAAATTAGAAATTGCAACCACCTTTCGCAGTTTCACTACCATTTAGCAATCACTTTCCTCGAGCTGCCAAAACCGGTGCAGTTTGTAATAGCTTTGACACTCGCTAGTTAAACAAGAGCAACTTTCGTTTTATGGAACCACTTTCAAAGAGACATTTAACCCAAAGACAGAACGGCGGATGGGACAAACGTGACAATAATGTAACTGGATTCACGAGAGTGAAAGTGAGGAACTGCTACTGGATAACTGGAACCGGTTGCAGACCTGGAACTGGTTGCGGAAATATAACTGATTGTTACACTAGGTCATGGTTCCCCGGAACGACCTTGTGTTATAAAAACAGTTACGGATACAGTTGTTTTAAATTCGTTCCTTTTTTAATGGAATTACAATTTTAAACCGATCGAAATTACATAACCTCGATTTGGATGGTCTTTCTGTTGTAAAAGTGTGATTTATTTAACAATCACTATTTACAACCAGTTGTTGCAACCGAATCTCCTGTTACAGGATTCTAACGCTCAGAAGAGTGGGACGTTAGAAGGTACCCCATTCTTTTTACTTTCTCCCCCTGAGCCCCAAAAAGGGGATCAACCCATAAAACTATCTAAGTAGCTACAACATTTGAATTTGTCACAATATTAATCAGTAAGATATTTTCAGATAACAGCATTGCTGGCTTGTATGGCCAGTACCCTCGCCATAGACTATGGGGGCTATGGTGGTTTGCCAGGATACTCGGCACAGCTATATCATGCCTCGGCACCGCTATATCATGCCCCAGCACCTGTATATCATGCCCCAGCACCTGTATATCATGCCCCAGCTCCTGTCTATCATGCCCCAGTGTATGCCCCAGTCAAAGAGGACTACTATGTGAGTATTTGAACAATTTTAATCTCCAGTACTTTTATTTTAGTTCCTCATCTAATCCTAGGACGCTAGGCGTTAGCGCAGAACCATTTTACTCATTACTTCAGGCCTCTACTAAAGGCCTCGAGGTTGGCGGCATTATCAATTAGATAAAATCCATTGGCGATTGGTGGAATTTGAACCCGGGATCTCGGAACCCGGGCTCCACTGATAGCTCCCTCCCCTAAATACTCGTATACACGGTAAGGCTCTTATGACAGTCATTGGTGGGGGTTTTAAGTCTGCTAAATTGGTTTAATAGATTTCTAAAACTCGTATAATATTATGTGATTTCAGGTTTAGGTCAATCGGTATTTTCCTTTTGATTTACCTTTGATATAATCCTCCTTCTTTCAATCAATCAATGTTTTGTTATAGGCTCACTTGTTGTTTTCTTAGGATTAAATGGTAAAGCAAATATTTTCGCAGTAATCAAAATAAAATACTGAAATGGTAAAATGGTACGATACGCGTTTTCTGCATAATTCAACAGATTTTCCAATGCCATTTTAAAAGTTCGTTTTTTCGATATTAAGTTAGATTTATCCTAATTGAAACAGAGTGTATCTTAGCTGATTTAGTCAGTTTATGTTTATCAAAATTGAAAATACAGGTTTCAGCCAATTGTGTATTTCGAGTCTCGTATGTATGAATATTTCCTAGATAACAAACTTATTGTTCAGTTAACACGTAGTTAATTCCCAGATTGAAAAAAAAGATTTTTAGCTACCATCACCACCAATCAAAGTTTGTATTTTGATTCAAACAATATGAGTTATTGATACGTCACTTTCTATCAGTTATCTTTACTCTTAAATAAGATCGTGAAATCAATAAATGGAGAAAGTAAATGCATGGGTAATTTACAATCCAACTGCTTTAATTGATTGCTTCCTTGATTACTTCTTCTTATCTCTTCCTCATCGTTTAGAGCGGGAAGATTCGTTACACAATGTCACCTGTTATTCATTGCCTGTTATCTGTAACCTGTTCCAACGTAACTGTTACCGCAACCCGTTCTTAAGTATCTGGTTGGATAACGGTTAATCTGTGTTGATGCTCTAATTTTCTTTCTTATTCATGGGGATTTCTTTCTTCGCCCAAATGTGATTTATACTTAGTTGATGATTAGGTTTTATGACTTTAAATTAACGTTTACTTTATTTTCTTGATCTAATGTCATGACAGTCCCAAGGGTCCCCTTTCTCAGTTTTCTTCTGAATTTTCTTCAGACTGTCTACACTCCCTACTATATCTGTATTATAGGTACACAAGCTATAGCTTGTTAATTTACATAAGTGCTGTATGAAGAGCCCTCACCTAAACTATGTGAGTAATAAATAACCCACACCAGTGATAGAAAATTTCAATATAAAAACAAAAACCTGGATTTCGAGTGAGTAATATCACGTAGGGAAGAAAATCTGAGTGGATCAGTGTGAAAGTAGTCTTCCTATGATGGATCACTGAAGGGATTTCTAATCTTTTACCGTAGTCTTTCTTAAAAGTTTACTTCTTCTCAACTTGTGGTGTCACTCGTTACTCACACACAGTTTTGGTTGTCATCGGGTTTGAACAACACAAGAAACAGTCCGATTTTGGCTTTAGTTGCGATCATACGGTTGTCATTGGTATACAGTTTGCACCGAATGATCATGAATACTACAGTGGTGCAGATACTCTTTAGATACTGGAGTAGACATCCCATCTGTATACACTGTTCACGTTTTTATTCACACAAAAAGTCACATAGAGTGTGCTTCTTTCACAATCCTTATTTATTCGTTGTTACTGTGATATTTTATGATACATCAAATATAGCATAGTGTATCGGTCTGGTTTAAAAGTTGAAGTGACTGGCACAAATAAGCAACTCACATCAACTCTGTTCTTTTATTCTGAAAATGGGATGTTCTATTAATAGTCAAAGGTCGTATGCTTTACATGTGTTTTAACTCTCGGAATTGCAATTTCCCGTATTAATAACTAAACCATTGTTTCCAGGCTTACCCCAGGTACGCGTTCAACTACGGAGTGAAGGACCCTCACACGGGGGACATCAAGCACCAATCCGAACAAAGGGACGGTGACGTAGTCAAAGGACAGTACTCTCTGGTGGAGCCGGACGGAACTACAAGAACAGTAAACTACAGTGCAGACGCTCACAGTGGGTTCAACGCGGTGGTCACCAAAAGTGGCAAAGCGGTACACCCTGTATCTGCCCCTAAGTACCACCCTCCTGTGTACCACGCACCTGTGTACCACCCCCCGGCGTACGTGTCACCCCACTACCCTCTGTACCACGGGTAACTTAGTCACTAGGTCAATGGTTGTCGTCGAACAGTTGAGAAAGTCATTGAAATTGTGTTGGATTTTAAGTGTTTTTGTAAGTCTCACCTTTGGTGGATAGAACTTAGAAACTCATCATGTTGTCGCTAGTTTTTCAAATTGCAATGGACGTAGTTCAAATGAGCCAAGAAATGTTGTTTTATCGAGGATGCATTTATTTGAGGAATGGATATCACAATGTCGACTTCAACCATGATCTAATCAATTAGATATAGCCTGCCTGCCATGTAAATATGTACCTGTGTTTTATGTGTTCGTATGTTATAAGACCATTTTGTATTTCAAGACTACCTTTTGTATTATATTTATGTTGTGTTGATGTGTTATGATGAAATAAAGTTTATTTCTTTCTTACAGAGTACTTTTCCTAATGATCCAAACTGAAAGGATAGTTTATAGTTTGGGATACCAACCTTCACTACCCCATCGAGTTTCATAGTTTAAATAACTAGACAACAATTCGAATTTCAATGCAAATTATATGCAAGTCTCATTTGATATTTTTTGTAAAAGCTGGTTTGTTATGAATATAATGTATGTTTTAGAATAAAAGGTTAATGTTACTACTTAACATTGCGTATTTCTATTTTAAGATTTATTGAATTGGTAATAAGACGATGCAAATATTGAAAAAGTAGGCCTACACAACTTTTCTACGTTTAAGTAATCAAGTAAGTAGTAAGTAGTTAAGTAATCAAAAGCCTTTTTTGGTTGATTTTATAAATAGGCTACATATTAGTATGATTTTTTAGTAAATTGTCAGTAGATAAACCTTACTAAACATTGAAACAAAATTAACCACAAGGATATTAACTGCATTTATTCTAACTGGAGTGTTGATTCGTGTTTGAGAAATAAGTAGGAAAAATATTAATGAGCGCAGAACACATAGAAGTAATTAAAGTTTACGCCTGTAAAAACTGTCAACCCGAAAATAAAAATTCCTTGAACTCACGAAAATGTCTTCCGTTCTGAGTCGAGGTTTAGCTTCGGTCATCAAGTTAAACGTTTATTTAATCTTTGTTTTCCGCCAGTCATGTATGAGCTTTCTTACTTTCTCCACTTTAGTCATCAGCAGAATGCTGCAGCACTAATACTGTAATGCTGAGTATTAATGCTGAAATGTTGCTGTAGTTATGTACCTATTGATGCTGGGAATATTGCTGTGATATGATAATAGCTGACACTAGAAAGTATTAGAATGTATGATTAGAAATATTAATTTTATAAAAACGTAAACTACCTATACTATTGACCAAATTGGTTCAATGATCTAAAGACAAATCAATTGCCGTTATGGTAGAGATCACATATGGTCAAGCTAGTTATGACTGAAATAATAAGATATTGGTGATTGGTCTTGATCAATCAATGCTTGGCTCATCATTCCAGGTTGAAACTACTAGGCCCTACCATCTTCCCAAGTTATGCTAATTATGAAAAAAAAAACTCAAGTATGGTCTTTTGTTGAGGGATTTTATTAATACTGATAAATTTATCCTTGCCCAAAAGACCCTCATGTTTTACTTCATCCCATAAAGTACATAAGGAGAAAGTATTATTTTGTCATTTTTGTTGGGAATTTTCGTTTTGGGTCCCTCTGACCCGAAAAGGTGGTTTTTGAGGGGAGAAAATAATTTTAGTGACTAACTGTCGTCGACAACTACAACGTCCACGGTTTTTGAGACTTTGTTACTTAGTGACTTAGTTTTTCTTTTGAGACTCTGAGCTCAAAAATGCTGAATAATGTTTTGCTGTAAAATACTCTACGTATTCAACGTAGTATGTAATATGTATTCTATTGCTTGGTAGCATTATTGACATTAATGTATTCACAAAGTTAGGAACTGAGTAAAATAATAAATTGAATTTAGTAGGTGACAATAATAATACTTTAGTTTGTTGATTGCTCCCGTAATTGCGTGTTAACAAGAACAGTTTTTCCTTTTGTATTGTTGAATTAATTTAAATAATATTATATAATACTACATTAAATTATATACGATATTTTGTAGAGCATTAAAACGTTTGCTAGTAAACTAACCAAATCCTTATTTCACTGTCAGCTGATCAGCTGATCAGCAATTCCTCTACTCGCATGTATGTTTCTTATTAGGCCCCTGAATATATGGTTTGACCTAGAAATAATTAGAACACAGATGAAACCATTGTTGTTCGATAGTGAAAAGTATTGTGAATAACATATCAAAAGTCTCTAAAAATATCTTTGCTGGAACACCACTATTTTTCCAAAATGGCTGCCAAATCCAGTACTTTTTCGCTTTTTAATGAAATTCTGACTTTCCAGTCAATATTGGTGAAAAGTCGTCAATACATTTAATGTTCCTACTGAAATTACCTTTAAAATGATACCAAATACATGTACCTACAACAAAAAATAAACCCCGTAGAAATAATAAAATATTTCAAATAAAAATATTTGTTATAAATTAATGTAATAGTCCAAGCAAACTAAAAAAAAACAGACACAGGGATCGTATAAAAATTTGCAAGTAAACATTTTATGGTTTTATTTTTATTGTTGTGGTGTGCAAAGTGACATACCAAAAGTTGCAAAAAATCAGTCCACGTTAAACCCCTAAATTAAGGGAAAAAATGGCGGCTTTTCCCAATATTGGACAAATTTTGCAACAAAAGATATCACATGTTTTTTGCACATTTTTCGAGATATTGACTTGGAACCACGACCGATATTTATTGGATAGTCCGTACTTAATTTCAATAGGGGACGCATTTTGGGCCGCCATCTTGGATCAGCCATATTGGATATAAATATTTTTTAATGTAATTATAGTGTTGTGATACATCATTATGAACTAGATTTCCACGCTGATTTCAATGCTGTAATCCGTTTTAAAATAAGTTTTTTCGTTGCTTAAGATATATTAAAACGAAAAGTCTCCCCTATACATCACTTATGGACGTATCGTACTTTGAAAAAGTGTTTGGATTATTTTTCTCCATGTATTATTAATGCTTGCATTTCGTTCTAGCCTTAAAATATTCAGTGATAAAAGAGCTTTCATTTTAGTTAGCTTTCATTTTGTTTTATTTATATTTAAAACAGACTAGTTATAGACGAGGTACAAACCCCAACACAAAATTAAACTAAACTTTTTTATCAGTTTTTGTTAAAAGATTTATATCTCGGGTTGTTAATATGTTAACAAGTTCGTTCTGGTATCAAAGTACTCAGTAAATGTTTGGCTTTAATTTTATTGATTATCAAATGACACATGACAAATTTAAAACGGATCATGTAGGCCTACCTTAAATGAACTATTGAATGAATTATTGTTATTTTGAAATTTGTCTTTAGTTAAAGACATTTATCCCCAATTCTAAATAACTTCCAATAAGGAATCCATAGCAAAAATAAAAGTCAATACTTGAACGAATAGCTATGACGAGTTTTCCCGTTTTCACTCTGCACAACTCTACAGAATAAAACCATAAAACGTTTTGTTGAAATTTTTTAAAGGCCATATCCTATATTTATCTAAATATAATTTCCAAGTTACACAGTTAAAGTTATTTATAAGTACAGTTATTTATAAGTAAGTTAGTCAAATGTACCATCAGTCAAACACCACTCCCAATCTGTTGGATCTGCTGGTGAACTATTTCCACGCCATACTTGAACCTGATGGTACAACCTTAGGCTGAGGTAGTTTTCAATGAGTTTTAAAATTGTCAAAGTACGAAACGTCCATAAGAAATGTATGGGGGAGAGTTTTCGTTTTTATATATCTTAAAATCGTAAAACGCTATTTAAAAACTGATTTCAGCATTGAAATCAGCGTGGAAATCTAGTTCATAATGATGTGTCACAACACTATAATTACATTAAAATATATATATTTCCAATATGGCAGATCCAATATGGCTGATCCAAGATGGCGGCCCAAAAAGCGTCCCCTATTGAAATTAAGTACGGACTATCCGAAAAATATCGGTCGTGGTTCCAAGTCAATATCTCGAAAAATGTGCAAAAAACTTGGTGATTTTGTTTTGCAAAATTTGTCCAATATTGGGAATGCCGCCATTTTTTCCTTAATTTAGGGGCTTCACGTGGACTGATTTTTTGCAACTTTTGGTATGCCACTTTGCACACCACAACAATAAAAATAAAACCATAAAATGTTTACTTGCAAATTTTTAAACGATCCCTGTGTCTGTTTTTTTTAGTTTGCTTGGACTATTACATTAATTTATAACAAATATTTTTATTTGAAATATTTTATTATTTCTACGGGGTTTATTTTTTGTTGTAGGTACATGTATTTGGTATCATTTTAAAGGTAATTTCAGGAGGAACATTAAATGTATTGACGACTTTTCACCAATATTGACTGGAAAGTCAGAATTTCATTAAAAAGCGAAAAAGTACTGGATTTGGCCGCCATTTTGGAAAAATAGTGGTGTTCCACCAAAGATATTTTTGGAGACTTTTGATATGTTATTCACAATACTTTTCACTATCGAACAACAATGGTTTCATCTGTGTTCTAATTATTTCTAGGTTTTGCTATTTATTTTCTTATTTTAAGGCGCCTATATAGGTTATTGTTGTCTTGTAAATGTAGTTGTACGGTACGAGGTTTTTTCATAAAAATGTGCCGCTTAGTGAGTGTTAGTATCTATATAGTTTGGTGTTGTTGAGTGTGTATTGTGTTTAAGCAGACACTTAAAAGTGTTAGTGCCAAGTGACTTAACAGTGCTATTGTTTACGCAGATTTTCCTGTCACGACATACATCATGGTAAGTATTTTCAATTACCATTATAACCAAGCTCTTCAAAAAAATTAACCAACGTTGATTACGGGATATTCCAATGTTACTTGCTAATATCTTAGTTTATGTCTACATTAAAATGATCAAACCATAGTTCTATAGCGTATTTTGTCTTAGAAAATGATCATTGTTCGTTGAACTAGTGCTTTTTTACTGAAACTGAATTAAATGTTGATAGCGGTACTTATAATAATACAATAATTGATGTATGTATTAAATTAACAAACCGTTACAATCATTTTTTTCTTTTGATGAAACATCTACATTATTTTTGTAATATATAACAATACCATTCAAACGCATAAATAAAAAGTTGGGTCCGCAGGTTAGTGCTTGCAGTCGTAGTACGGGTAAGAATATATGTTTGTGGGTGCATGGTGTTCTAGTCGACATTTCCTATATACAGGCTTCCCTAGGTTAACTCAACGAAGTTATGTTGATTTAAAACACTTTATACATCATTAAACGCACTCGAAATAAAATAAAGTAGGTAGATTCTATTTCAACCGCTTGAAGAAGTTTTTGACAGTTACCGTTGT